CTATATTTGGAGACCTTTAGTGTTACACTTTGTTCTGACATTTAGCTTCCTGGTCTGTAATGATGTGGGGGGGAAGAAGCATGGAGTGATGAGCAAAAAATGCAGGAAGAGATGGACAAGAAAAGTTAAACTAAAATGTAGAAAAGATGATTATTTATTGATGATATTTATTTATTGTAATTTCAATAATGAAAAAAACAACCTGAAGGTTGGTGGCTCTGATGGCACTTGTTTTGCCTAAGCTGAAGTAAAACCCTTCTGACTGGTTGTAGTAACAGCAGCAACAGGGAAAGTGGCTCAGACAGAGCAACTGGATGGAGGCGAGAGAGAAGCTATGTTTCAAGGGGAGCGGATGATGGAAAATGAGAGATCGTGATGTTGATAAGTCACTACCGCCCCTCTCTCCACTTGTCTCTCCCAGAGCTCCATCGCACCGTCAACAGGGGTTGTCATGGCAACCCCAGCCTTCCCCCCTGACCACATGTGAACAGATCCACAGGATTAGTCCTGAAAGGGAACTCAAATGTCAACACAGCTCCAGGCATTGCCACGTAGGCCTGAGAGAGAAGAGGGGAGTCTGTTTTGTGCACAGTCGGGTGATGGTGCAAGTGTGCCATCGTGCTATCCACTGTGTGCCATCATGCTGTCCGCTGTGTGTCATCATGCTATCCACTGTGCCCACTACAGCTTATTGGATAAACTTAGCTTATGCAAATATGATTGTGTGAAGGCATGGAAATTAATTGAAAATGGCTATTATTGCACTCTGAAAACGTTTAGGAAATATGTAGGCTTAAGCCTAACAATGAAATAAACGTTTCCTAAAGATGTATTTGAATGATTTGATTATATATCTGAAACATGCCACGTGCGATATAATTGATATAGAAATGCTCTGTGTGTCATGGTGTATATGAGCACAGTATTGATGCCTAGTGGATGTGTGACATGCTGTTTTGTTAGACTTAGCTTTTTTTGACATAAAATATACAGTATATCTGAAGTGTTATATTTTTATGCTAACAATGGGTCAATGACCCATGTGTTGTGTAATGCAAACGTTCTGTGGAGCACTTTGGCATCTTTCAGCTGATTGTTTTGGTTTTACAGTCCACAGTTTTATTATGTTATGAGCTATATACTGTATTTTCCACAGGATCTGGTGGAGACCAAAACAAAGCTAATAGTAGAGCGAATACTGGGCTTGAATTTGTCAGGTGAGGTCAGAAACATGGCCCAAATTATCTGTTATTGCTATTTTAATCTTAAATATTGTAATTACACCAAGGTTTTATGGCAAGAAAAGCATTCGATGCCACAAAAACTGCACTTTTATTAAAATAAACATGTATTTTGTGCTACAAAAAGATTTTTTTGCGACAAAATGTAGCTTAATTTGTCCTTTATTATTATGACGACAAAATGTAGCTTAATTTGTCCTTTGTCCTTTATTGTTATGCCTTTCTGGCATATAGAGTATTAGTCATGTATACTTTGGTAAAGAGTATTTTCTTTATTTCAACCATGTACCTGTGTCCACCAGCTGCAGTGGAGGCATGTGTTCTGCACGGGCTGAAACGACGAGCAGCAGGCTTTCTGCGCAGCAACAAGGTAGCGGCGCTCTTCATGAAGGTGGGGAAAAGCTTCCCCCCAGCTGAGGAGCTGTGCAGGAAGGCCCAGGAGCTCGAGCACATTATCGAGGCAAAGTGAGAAACACACACATCACAGCCTGTTCTGACACAGCAGACCTCAAAGCTTACATCAAAGTCTGTTTGATTGCACCAGCAAAAGCACTGAAAACAAATGGTTGTCTGCTTACATGAAGGGCAATTTTTGTTTATTATAAAAAGACTAAATAATTCATGTTCACAAGCTTTTATGAGTCATGAACCACTGATGCTGTAAGCTTCATGCAGATGCAGTTGTACTTAATGGAATATTTAAAACATGTTATACAGAATTTGTTTTATTTAATTTAAAACCTCTGACTCTCTCCATCTAAAGGCGCAGTCAAAGCTTGCAAAGTCAGGACAGCCTGCGAAAGATGCCTCGATTTCCCAGCCTCATCCCACAAGGAGTCAAGAACTTGTGGATCCGGACAGCACTGTTTGAGAAGGTGCTGGACAAGATTGTCCTCTACCTGGTGGAGAACAGCAGGTACATTGAGACTGCATATGACACTCTGTTCAGCTGTTTGTGTTGCAAGAACTCTATGTCCCTTCAAAATTTCCCTTTCATGTTTGTATTCCAGTAAATACTACGAGAAAGAGGCTTTTCTAATGGACCCTGTAGATGGACCTATCCTCGCCTCTTTGTTAGGTGATTACATGTGACATTATAAGCATTTGTGTATTTTAATGTAACCATGCGACTCCTTGGTTTGATAAATGAGCTCATGGTCTTAGGAACAGGTACAAAAGCTTGTTGCTGGACCAGTATGCTATGGAAGGACATTATGGTATGGTATCTTTCCTACCCCTGCCATTTGTCCCATCAAGAGTACAATTATGCACCCTGCAAAAATAATCTATTAAAGAGTTTTATAGTATTTTTTGCCACATTTCTCCCAAATTGTACTAATAGCCAGTTCTCTCCATAATACATCTGAGGGGCCACAAGTTGATTAACAAGACAAAAAACATATTTCTGCCATTTTATTCTTTGTGGGGTTTTTTATTGCTAGGTAATCTAGCAAGTCCCTGAAAAGTATTCAAAAAAAACATCTTAGAAAGGAAAAGTCACTCCTTGACCTGGTCACATTTATGGTGAATCAAAAGGTAGATCTGATTTCTGCTGTTGTGCAACTTAATAAAACCAAACACCAGGTGCAGTGTTTCACTGTGCTCCTTGTGACAGTTGGACCTTGTGCTTTGGAGTACACAAAGATGAAGACAGCTGACCACTTCTGGACAGATCCATCTGCTGACGAGTTGGTGCAGCGACATCGTATTCACGGTGGCCTCTGCAGGCAGGACTCTCCCACCAAGAGGCCTGCACTGTGTGTAAGTGATAATTTAATAATACAGCAGCAGACCATGCTGAATTAGTTTCAGACTTACTGCACCAAGTGAAGCATATTGTGTCCCAGAGAAAGAAGAGACTGTATCTTAGATCCTCACACTTTTTATGTCAGGTTATCAGGGAACAGGTTAACTCGACCTACCTTAACATCCCTGAAATACTCTTTACATATTACATTCTCTTTACATATTTAGCATGAGTGCATCCTACACAAACATAAACTGGTTTCCAGCATCAGGAACAATGGAGAATACATATTATTTCTCATATGTAAGTCTTGGAAAAGAGATTTTATTTATGGAAAATGGCTTTACTCTGACCGGCTGTAATTCACTGTATATAGAGAGTCATTCATTTAGCACTGTTTACAATGTCTGATATGTTTTCCGCAGATCCAGAAGCGGCACTCCAGCAGCAGCATGGATGAACGTCCTTCCCCGTCACCATCGGCTCGTGAATATGTAGAGTCCCTGCATCAAAACAACAGGGCGACCCTACTGTTTGGCAAAAACAATGTGCTTGTGCAACCGGTAATCATATTAGGCACTCCCTGGAAATGATATCTCAATATAAAGGTTATGAGTTTAAAAGCTTTATAGAAGATTTAAAGATTGTTCCACACCTCCCATAGCCTGGAATGACATTAACAGACAGTTTCAGACATTTTACAGTAATGTCACAGCTAAAGAGTATCATTAAAACCAAAGGAATCTTTCCCTGCAAGTTAAAGCCTTGAACAAAATTGTAGTCTTCATATTATCTTGTCATCCCACATCATCCCAGAACACTGTGTAAGAGCCTAATGTGCTGTCTGGTTTATAAGTCCAAAGTCAGCAACAAGAAATGAAGAATATTTCCCAAAAGAAAAAAGCCGTCAGTATGTTGTAGCCGAGTAACTTTCTGCTTTTGTTCTTGGCGGGTGCAAGCAGATAGTTGATTTTAACTTGTTTGAACACTCATCTTTCAGAGCGTACTTTATGCCCAGAAGCCTTTAATAGATGCTTTCAGCTTCACATAACACCTACTTCACCTGCCTGCTCTAAAACAGCAATACAACAATGTGTGGTGGATGCATACATCCTGAAAATCCTTTTCCTTTCATCTTTTTTTCCCACAAAACAAATGATATCTTGTTTATGTGCATTGCCAGTGTAAATAGATGGTTAAGACTTTCTACCATTAGTGCAGTCTGCTTCAGGCTTATACATACTGACACATCCTCTGTTCTCATATCAAATGAAAAACACCCCTCCTCCTCATTGTTTCAGAAGGATGACATGGAGGCTATCCCAGGTTACCTCTCTCTGCACCAGACTGCTGACATCATGACGCTGAAGTGGACACCCAATCAGCTCATGAATGGCTCTGTTGGAGACTTGGACTATGAACGCAGGTGCAAATCTATTCAACTGTAGATGGATTATGATCGTGGTGAATGTGTTTGTGATAACACAAGTAATCCTTCTCATACAATGCACATCTAACATGTAATGTCTTTTCTCAATGATGTGCAAACACTGCATTATTTCTTCATCTTCTCTCTCTGCTGTGTGTGTAACACTTGGGTGTTACTGAATAATGCAGTGTGTTTGTGTGTGGCTCAGGGGCTCAGTATGCAGAGTAAATGCTGCTGATCTGATGAAGATTATTTTCAGCACACCAACAGCTGCCGGCTGATCTATCGACTGAGACACTGTCAGACATCTCTCAAACTAGCAAACCGTGTTATGTTCCTGTGCCTGTGCATGGCTCCTCTCACCACAGCGATTGATTATTGCATTGTGCGACTCTGCACCTGCTTGTCCACACATACACTCATCTACTTTCTTTATTAGCCATAAAATTAATGTTCCGTCAGATTTTGACTCGTACAAATAATATGAAATCATTCCCTATACATATGTTTTTCATTGTTAGCTGGTGATCCATTCAGGCAAATATGGATTTCTATCTTACTGACTGCGTGTTTGATCAAATGTCTTTCAGTATATACTGGAACTATGCCATGACAATCCCTCTAGAGGAGATAGTTTATTTGCACTGTCATCAACAAGGTGGGTCCATATGAACCTATATTCTTAAAACTACAATTATACACACAACCAAAATTCTTGTTTTTGTGTAATTACCGCCTTTTCTTGCAACTGTGACTGTCTGCAATTAAACACAGCTGTCCGACAAAATGTGATCATGAATAATTTGATAAGGAAATCATCTGTCCTACATTTCCTGCAGTGGACAGTGGGGGGACGGTGGTGCTAGTCAGTCAGGATGGGATCCAAAGACCTCCACTTCGCTTCCCCAGAGGAGGTCACTTGCTCCAGTTCCTCTCCTGCCTTGAAAATGGCCTGCTGCCTCACGGCCAGCTGGACCCTCCACTCTGGTCCCAGAGGGGAAAGGTCAGCACGGGAGGTCTTTCTCTCTGGTTTCAGATGAAAGACGTCATATGCATTCTTCTAGAAAACAGCACTAAAATGCTAAATCAGCCTTATTTGATCAATAGATCAATAAAATCACATTTGGATTTGGAAACAGATGCATTCCTGATAATGAAGAATGTGTGGCTTAATGTTCTCTCTGCACCTCCACACAAGAAGTATTTACTTGAATGGATGTTTTTGTTAGATTGTGAACAGATTTGTATCTGCAGCTAACTGAATAATCAAAACCACCCATGCATATTCAGACACTATTAAGGCTTACTAATACAGACACGCCATCGTCTTTAGTTCACATGGATGTCTTAGCTGGGCTCTAAAGGTTAAGCATTTTTTCTTGCTGGCATTAGTTATACAACAGTTATTTATTTTCTCATTGCAGGGGAAGGTGTTTCCCAAGCTGCGGAAGAAGCTTCCTCAGGGATCTGCTTCCTCAGACTCTATCTCAGACAAGGAGGAGGATGAGGCCACAGATTATGTCTTCCGCATCCTCTTTCCAAACAGCCAGTCAGAGTTTGGTGAGTTTCCCATCAGAGAAGTAAATTAACATGAGCAGCACCCACGGTTCTCTCCAGATTGTTGCATTCAAATGAAAATGTTGCTCATTATTTGTTACAGTGACTGTAACCCATCCTCCCCTTCTGACTTCCTCCTTCTCCCTTCAACTGAGTGGACAGTCCACCTTCATAAAAGGGACCCTGGTTGTCCCTAGAAGGTCCTGCAGCTGTCCTGAAGAATCCTCCTCACTCACAAGAAGCAGCTGTAACAGTGTCACACCCCGGCTTGTCTGTGTGTCTGTCAGCTTTCCTGGCTTTAATTTCCTGTGTTTAATATTCTCCTGTGCCTCTGGCGAAGTTTTTTGATGTGTCCCCTTATTGAAACCCCTCCCACTCCCTGTCACCTTGTGTCACACCTTTTTATCACATTATAACACAGTAACCTTTCAACAGCCAGTAGGTGGACTGCTGGTTGGTTGAATATGGGTTGTGAATTGATAAAGGCTCTTGCTTGCCTAATCTTTCTCTCTTTTAGAATGTAAATGAATGTGATGGCCTCATGGCTTCACACTGTGCATCAATTCCAGATTGTGTAAATGTTTTTGCTTATATGTTTAATCTTTGCTCTAACAGGAATCACACACAAATTGTACTGTGAAGTGCTTTCAGTGGATCACAACTGATCAGCATAATTCTGCTTGTGAAAAAGTGTTTCCAGCTATGTTTAAAATCACCTACATATGAAAGTAATTGTTCATGAAAGCCTGAGCAGCAAAATGCTTTAATGTGATAATGATGGTGTGTGTTTTTATGTGTGTGGATGTTGCAGCGACTCCTCCTGACTTGATGGATCATGGAGCTACAATGTGGCATCCCACCCTCAGGAAGGCCTCGTGCTCCTCTTGTTCTCAGGGGAGCTTCTCTGACGGGGCAACACCCAAGGGGTGCAACCATGAGAGGTGAGAGACAAACATGCTCCAAGCTGCTGAAGATGGCAGAGACATACCCCCTCACCTGTCTTTTTTTTTTTTTGTGCTAACCAGTGAGGAAAGAGGGAAACTAGGAAATGAGCAAACATACAAGAACATGGCAATTACCCAGAATACAATTATGTGACATTTATCTCCCCTGACATGAGAATGTGTTGGGGAAAAAGAGATAATAAGCAAAAATTGTTGAAAGCTATGAAGAAGGCTGGTTTGTTGTTTGTTTTTATACAGCAGCACAAAAGGTTATCAACATTGTAATGAACTCTAGAGTATCTCACACATTAAATTAATAATATAAATAACTTCTCATGCTCTAGATGATTCTTTGAATGAGCTTAATGAAAGTTGTGCAATGTCAAAATAGTTCCTCTGTATAAGTAAAGTGAATGGTGCTGTATCTTCCTGCAGGGCTCCACTGAAGCTGCTGTGCGACAACATGAAGTATCAGATCATCTCTCGGGCATTTTATGGCTGTATGTAATTACTTATTGTGTACATTGAAAAGCCTCAAATTTTAGTCTTTGTTCACTTATTATTTATTCACTATAAAGATATGTTTAAAGAAGCACCCTTATTTTAATTATCTTATATTAACTTTTGCAGAGGCATTAAATAATGAGCTGTCTTGTTGTTCAGGGTTGGCATACTGCCGTCACCTGTCCACTGTGCGTACACACCTCTCTGCCCTTGTCAATCACGCCATCGTGGCGCCCAACATGCCGTGTGATGCCTACAAAGGGCTCACCACAGATACATGGCAGACGTTCCTCCGAGACTGCACAGTAAGCATTGCTGGTGTCACTGCACTGCAACAGACTTCACATTAACTGCTAGCAGTATACTGTACACGCACATGCAAATACATGTCTGCTCCCAGCATCTCTCTTTCTCACTCTGTCTGTCTTCTGTCTTGGATTCATCCTCTGCTAATCATGTGGCTCACACCATTTGCATGCAATGTGACTAATAGCCCTGCCATTCTCTATCTGTAGTCCACATCTGTAATTTATTTGGTCATTAATACCATTTATCTGGACTTATGGAGAGTTTGACTTAATCAAAAAAGTTTCTATAACCAAATATTGTTCTTAAAACAGCTTTGCTTTCTGTAAACAATGGAAGTTCAATATTTGATAATTACTTAGGAAGCCACTTTGAAAATGTAATCAGTTATTGAATGTTAATGTTCATTCTTGTCCATGGAAATTGTTGTTTGTCATCACAGTACCTAGGGCATAAAAGAGAAGTGGATAAATGGCATGTCTTGCATTTTCAGGCTTACAAGGAGCAGGAGCTGCTTCGTCTGGTCTACTTCGGCGGTGTGGAGCCTTCGCTACGTAAAGAGGTGTGGCCGTTCCTGCTGGGCCATTACCAGTTTGGAATGTCAGAAGCTGAGAGGAAGGAGGTTTGTTGTTTCCATGATTGTGCTTTTGCTTCCAAAGCATTTCCCACCTGAATCACTGACCCTTGAGCCGTCACCCCTCGCCACAGGTGGATGAACAGGTCCGAGTATGCTACCAGCAGACCATGCGCGAGTGGCTCGGCTGTGAGGAGATTGTCCGCCAGCGGGAGAAGGAGCAGCACGCTGCAGCATTAGCCAAGTGCTCCTCAGGGGCAAGCATGGACAGCTCCAGTCAGAAGATGAGCCACCATGACTCCACCATTAGCAATGAGGTAAAGAAGTTACCTACACTATGAGAGTAATGTTCACTCGCAATTTAGCCTGTGAAAAGGAATGTTGTTGTGTCAATCAAATGACAAGGATAAACAGTCGCAGTATATAAGGCTAAATGTGATGGTTAGTTAGTCATTGTGTCATGTGCACACTGTGTAAGAGTGCAGCCTACATGGACGAGGTAAAAATATAGTTGCAGAGGTGAAACATTTGTCAGCATGAACATCAGCTTCTCACAATATGTTGCAAATAAGAACACTGTGTTCTGTCCCAGGCTCTATGGTCCAGTCCCAGACTTCCCAGAGCTCAACCACAAAAAGGGTTCCCTACCCTAGTTTAAACTCATAGTTATTCATCCAAAAGAATTAATCACACATTATAGTATTGTCATAGAAAACAACAATATAAAGCAACAAATTATGAAATGGGCTTTATCTTCACTCTCACCTACATCTTTTTCTAAAGGGAGACATACTTGAACCAGGCCGTTGCGCACAGAAATCTTTGACTTATGGCCAAACACTGAAGACATGACCATTTATTTTACTTAGATATTCCATTGAAGAGCTGTTGGTTGTCTTGTGTGAAATGTAGAATCCAATATTTTTGGTGTTTGACCATAGTTTTTTCTGCAACTTTATAAATCTAATCACTGCACTACCTTTTTAATGTGAGCACAGCACAAAAAGTGGCATACAATAAAACTGTATATCAATAAAAATGTTATTATATGTTAATATCTTGGCCTGAATGTCTGTTATTGTGCAGTCTCAGTCTTCCCAGAGTTCAGACAGGCAGAGTCTGGCTCGCCTGCAGAGTGACTCCAGCAGCAGCACACAGGTATCAGAAACTCACCACATCACAGCCTGTGTACCATAGATGACATTTCAGAACTGCTAAGCAGCACTTCTGTTAGTGTTTTAAATGCTATTATCCTGATCTTTAATGATGTATTTCTCTTTATATGTCTCAAGTAATGCATGTGTAGTGAGTGCATTTTGAACCAATACTCCTCATCCCTGCATTCTCTCCCCCGCTAGTTCTTCACATCCTTCCATCCCTTCCCCTGGAGTAGCCTGCTTCCCTTTGGCTTGTTTTTTCAGGTGTTTGAATCTGTAGAGGAGGTGGACCAGATCGAGACAGAGCCCAAGAATGAAGAGGTGAAGCAGATGCCAAAGATGCCCAATGGTGCTCTGCAGAACGAGACAAGCTCTCCCGACTCAGGACATCCCTCCTCCCGCAACTTCTCTGTCACATCCGGCCTGTCGGACGGCTCGTTTAGCACAGAGGACAGCACCGCACCTGATGCAACCCTGAGATCTGCAGCTGTCGCTCAGGCACCACAGAGCAAACCTGCAGAGGAAATGGACAGCCAAATGAAAGGCGAAGGAAAGGAGGAGGAGGAGGTGAAAGTGCCAGGTGTGACCAAACCTGCAGAAACTGCTGAGACTGGGGTGACTCAACCATTCAGCCAAGAGGAGCAGGTGAAGGCCAGCAAAGAGACACGTTTGCAAACTGAAATACAAGAAAATGTTGAGTCAGACACTATCAAAACAGAGGAAACCATGATTCAAGATAAAGGCCCAGACATAACAATTGAAGAAATTAAATCTTTGGATTCAGAAAAAACAGGAAAAAAGGTGTTCAGTGAGACAGAATCCTCAGGAGCATTCTCTGAACCTGGACTTGAAAAAGAAGTAGAAGTGAGTATTAAGAAAACATCAAAGCTCGAAGAAAGAGATGTGGAAAAGATAAAGGAAAAGGACGAATCAAAGACAAGTAAACCACAAGAGGTCTTATGGGTGGAAGGGAAAGAAACAATATCTTTACACCCCATGGCCCCTGAAGTGGAAAAGAATCTTGTTCCCTCAGCAGATAATAGGGTCTCAAGAGCAAGAGACGTCTACTGCGTCTCTCAGAAAGACGAGGCTCAAGTCATGACGGAGTCTGATGAGTCTCCCTCAGCCATAGAGATGGATGAGATCCCCAAAGCCAAAGTTTCCATGGTGCCTTGGAGCAGAAAAGGACGTTGTGAAACCTCGTCTTCCTCTGAGGACTCAGCCCCTCGCGTGGAGCTTAGGCGTGAGGAGGAGCAGGGGAAGCCCAGTCCAGAGGGCACCGAGTCCAACCTCTCTGAGGAGCCTGAGGAGCCAGAGATGGAGAGCCTCTACCCTCAGTTTGACTCTCTGGTCGGTTCTGGAGACACCAAGAATGAAGCAACCTCTGGAGAATCTGCTGGGAGTACCTTCTCTGTGCGCACACATTTTTTAAGTGTTCCTATTAATTTATGCTAAGGCAAATCATTACAAGCTATTACAAGCTTGTTGTATTCATTGTGATCATTTTATTTGTTTCAGCAAGAGCGTTTGGACTTGTATACATTAAATCTGCACCGCATTGAAAAGGACGTCCAGCGCTGTGACAGAAACTACTGGTACTTCACTCCTGCCAACCTGGAGAAACTGCGCAACATTATGTGCAGGTAAAACATTATCATTATTAGCATTGTCGGCTTTTGATAATGATAATTATCAAAAGCCGACAAATCCTCTGACAAATCCTTTTATATCATCAAATAACTTATTAAAAACAGCCTTACCAGAAAAATGACCATTTGTACACACATTAGCATGATAATGTCTACCAAAAACGACAGAAATCACCTCTGGGAAACATTTATCTGATTTGTACTTTTGAGTTTTTACTTTGACTCATGTCCCCTCAGCTAAGGTGGAGAGGGCGGGATTTATTAGCTATACTGCAACCAGCCACCAGGGGGCGATTGACTCACCGTGGCTTCCATCTTTTATACAGTCTGTGTATGACAAAGACAAGCATCAGTCCCTCACATTAAAGAATGTGGAACCAGAAGTTGTTGGTGATTTTTGCTTCAAAATAGTTGCCAGTTAATTCTCTGTCAGTTCACTGACTAATTGTGGCAACTCTATGTTAGTGAATGATTCAAGAGACACCTTGCTATAAAGTGTATATTGTTCACTTTATGTCAGTTTTACCATTTTACCAGTTTCCTCCCCTGGGCCATCACTATCATGAACAGTTAATCCGTGTTTATATGTATATCAAGATACAGCAAACACCGCAGTGCAATAACTTATAGATGTAGCATTGTACATAAAATAGATGATTTTACCTTGTATACATGTACATACTTGGCAATAGATGGTTGTTTGTCTTGTTTGTTTTTTTTATTAAGTTTTATTTTGTTTTATTTGGTACACATTGGGAGCTGGAGTCAAATTCCTTGTATTTTAACATTCTTGGTAATAAAGTTTATGATTGATTGATGTTTGATTGATTTTTGTCACCCATCTGTCTATGGAAGTACCTCTAAATCTGGCCAGCAGCATGTAGCTCAGACTGTCAGATTAAAAACTGCTGAGTGCAGTGAAGGTCACTTCTTCTGTTTGTATATTTACAGCTATATCTGGAGGCACCTTGACATTGGTTATGTACAGGGCATGTGTGATCTGCTGGCTCCACTTCTAGTCATTCTGGATGATGGTGAGTCAATACACTGATTCACTTCTTATTTCCCCTCTTCTCTGACATTTGGTATATTTTTACAGTTATTGATGGAACAGCAGAGCAGAGTTTGCCCACTCACTTTCTCCCTCTGCTTCCTCTTTATAGAGGCCATGGCCTTCAGCTGTTTCACTGAGCTCATGAAGAGAATGAATCAAAACTTTCCACATGGAGGAGCTATGGATACTCACTTTGCCAACATGCGCTCTCTAATCCAGGTGACACAGCAACAGTAAAATCTTTAACCACACTGTAGGGGTCAAAAACACTAAATCAGTTCATTACTTAAAAACTCCTATATTCTTCACATTCTTCCCAACAACCAGTCTCATAGGTTTTTCCCCTGAATCTCCTCTGATCCCCTCTCTATATAGATACTGGATTCTGAGCTGTTTGAGCTAATGCACCAGAATGGAGACTACACCCACTTCTACTTCTGCTACCGCTGGTTTCTCCTAGACTTCAAGCGAGGTAATGTGAGCGGCACAGTGCGAGATACACTCTTCAATTTCTTTTTGTGTATAAACTGCCAAACCATCTGGCAGCTTGTCAACAACACCTGCACTTGTTAAGGGGGTGGAAGTCAGCCATAGTTTTGAACAAGCATTCTTGGGAGTTGATGATTGACAGATAAAAGCTGGTTTTCAAGGTCCATCCTTCTGCATGATATGGGAATTAGAGGCATGAAATCAGACAGGTTTATTACAACATGCATGGAGGAAAGTACACATCAATATCAACATGGATACCTGACAAATTTTCCTTATCTTACATGGGTGAACAGAGAATATTTAGAGGCCAGACCACTTTTCCCTCAAGTAACAAGTTAGCTACTGATTCTTACCCTAATATGGTCAGTCACATGGTCAAAACCCAGGACCAGAAGACATGACATTAGAAACTAAGAAGAAAGCATGTACATGTGGTAATCTAATACCTGGAACAAACTTTGCAGCTGTTTTTTTTTTGACTACAGGGAGTTTTCTGAGACCTCCCTCTCTGACCTGCTTTTTACTACATGTTAAACAATGGGCTATCATGGTGTATCCTCATTTTCTGTTACCTTTCTCTACTGACTTTTTCAATATACAGTATCGGCTTTGCCTCCTCAGTCAACACCTTCTCTCTGATCTTTCTACACTGATACAAGCTCACCTCTCGCCTGAGCCCTCAAACTCTGATACAGTTTGACTTTTTTGTGCTCTGCCTTCCAGAGCTGGTGTATGATGATGTTTTCGCAGTCTGGGAAACCATCTGGGCAGCCAAGTATGTCTCCTCTAGTCACTTTGTGCTCTTCATTGCCCTGGCACTGGTGGAGATCTACAGGGACATCATCCTGGAGAACAACATGGACTTCACAGACATCATTAAGTTCTTCAATGGTAAAACATAGCACTTTAACAATTGTTAAAGGGGAACTCTTCTGATTTTACACAATTTACTCCCTGGGAGTATGGGGAGTACTACTCTGTTTCAGGGTCCAACAGCTCTTCTAACAGACTACTGAACAACTGAGACAACTGTTCAGACATTCTCCAGACATTTTAGGAAATTTAGTCTGATTTTTATGTCATTTTAAGTGGATGGTGTTATTTTTGACATTCTTGCACAGGTAAAAAGATTAAGCCTTAATGTTTTGTGTCTTTCAGAAATGGCAGAGCATCACAACATAATGCAGATTTTGACCCTGGCCAGAGATCTGGTGTGCAAGGTGCAGATGCTGATAGAGAACAAGTGAATGTGCAGTTTTTCTTCTTTTGCTTCCAAGTGTGAACAGCTGTAGCAGCACAAGAGTAAAATACACATGAGCACACACACGCTCTCTCTCACACACACTACACAAAGCCTTTACAATCACAGTTTGCTGCTATGAGCTTTATTGACTGTATCCACTATGTTACTTGTGTTGTTAACAAGTATATGAGAATATTATGTTTATTATTTGTCAGTATGTTTAAGTGAAAACAAATGCAACTGAAAAACCTTCTTGAATTTCAAAATATTTAGTCAAAAATCCCTTAAGTGTCATTCTCGATCTGAGTGCTCTTAATATTTTAGGATAAGGATGGTATTAATTGCACATTTCGAACCAAAATGCAGAACTGAATTCAACCAGAGATTATATGTGTATAAGTTATAACTTTCTTAAACTACAACAACCCTAAATCCAATTAATCACCACGGATTCTGAACCTTAGCTTGTAGCTCAAAATGTAACCCAAACTCCAGTTATGTTTATTGCACAGCACCACATCAGTGATTCAGCATTCAACAGTGTTTTCAGTGTTGTTGAACTGCCTTGTCCGCCAAATAGTGTGTTTATTATGTGTGAAATGTACTGTACTGAGAGAAAAATGTGTCTAAATTATGAAGATTATATTATGTTAACACTTGTAAAATCATAACATAATATTTATTTATGGATGTCTGGGCAAAGATTTGTATAGCAAAACAAGCCTGATTTGATAGTCCTCCTCAGTTATTTTTCATTATCCAATGAGCAACTGCATATTTTGTAAACTGTGCTGTTTACTCGCCTTGATTTTTCTATTGTCTGGCATCTTGTTGAATGAAATGTTAACTTCAACTTCAGTATGATGCAAGAACAATCAGATGAGGCAGTGATCATTTCTAGTCACAGAGTCCAAATGAAAAGTTTTGTGGTTGCATGTTATTCAGATTCTTTAGTGAAATAGAGACTTAGAGAGATTAAAAAAGGAGCAGTATGCAAATGCTGATTTAGAGCTCGTGAGGACATACAGAATATATGCTTTTAACCCCTACTGGTCTGAGTTACTAAAATTCATGCTTGTCATTCACGGCCTAACCTAAATGCACTCACTTGTTCTTTGCGTATTGATTTATGAATGTGGTAAGATGAACTGCATTTAAAATTGATGTTTCTTTGTGAACACTAACTGACATCAGAAAGTGTATTTTAATTTTATGTAACATTTTCTGTAACATTTATTTGCCAAAGTGTATTTATTTATGTATTTATTTATTCATTCATTTTCTAATTCAGATGCTGCTTTGTTTGTAAAGCTTATAGCTTTATTTTGTGGCCAGTTATAAATGTGCATTGTAAAACAATCAAATTCTATACTATAAGAAATACAGTATATATTAAGTGGTACATGTTCTTATAATAAAAAAATTAAAATGGAATCATTATTTTTCCAGAACATATTGTAATGTGCATTTTACTGAATTTATTCAAACTGAAGTGCCAGAAATGTTTTATCAAAGTAGGGGCTTGCATTTTTTTTTAAACTGCTCACTGTATAATAATAAAAGTAATGCAAAATAGTTTTATCTTGTTTACAAAATGTCCATATTGATGTTTTGTACAGACATTCATGGCCTCCAGAGAATGAAGCCCACAAATATTTGTCCTCTGGGGCCATGAGGTTGACATTTGTGATTTTGAGTAAAATGTTTTGACATCCACTTAGGCTTAACCTGCAAAGATATTTCATATACACATTCATATCAAGATTAACTCTAGTAACTTTACTTATTTCATTTACATTTTAATTTATTATACCCGCCAAACATCTATATGGTATCGTTTTGTTTGCAAACATTGAGTAGCTACCCTCAAGAGTGAAGTACGTAACACAAAAGAGATACAGTTATAAACTCCAGTCAAAATACATATCGCCCGAACAGGGACTTGAACCCTGGACCCTCAGATTAAAAGTCTGATGCTCTACCGACTGAGCTATCCGGGCGCTCGAAAGCAATGGTTTACCATTTTGATATATAAAATATTAAATACTGATATCTAACTATTGTCTTTATCGTATGTGTGTATATTGTTTGGTATTTTTAGTCAGATAGATATTGGTTAGATACTTGATGTATTAGAAATATTTAGAGTAGACAGGATGTCTAGCTCAGGCTATTAAAATGCTTAGTCATTCTCATGGAGTACTTCAGATTGTTCAGGTTCAAGGATAACTAGATAGAAAGTTGATTGTTGTTAGGAGACAGAATGTTTAGTATTATTGTTATGACGTGTTTGACCATAATCGTAGTCATAATATTTTCGTATGCTTAATGTCATGTCAGAATGTTTTAGCTACACACCACATAATCAACAGACATTCACACATTGATTTTCTTCATGTTTTGACTACGGCTCTGGCCAGCTGCAAAGCTGGCACCGGGAGGCGTCACGGTTTGGCGTTCCTGTGTAGAATGGGGTTAGCCCGAGGATATATAATGTAAAGGCCTGTTATGGTTCAGGGCTTTTCATCTTTCAGCAGCCTGCGTGCATGTTGGAGGTGCAAAGGCTCCTGAGCGTGTAATGTTTACTAAGTGGGGATTAATATTTAATAAAACAGCATTCCTCCACATTTGAAATACAGTAAGTGTATTTCTAGAAAAAAACTGCCTGTTGTCTGCTTGGGACATAAGCGAATAAGGAAGTAAGTGGATGTTAAACCTCTCGCTTCCCGTAGATCGTTTAGCTAGCTTGCTACATCCATGGGAAGCTAGCTTAGGGTTCTGATCTTCTTGGTGAGTTTGTAAGTTCTAAGAAAATGTGACACCCCTTCTACACATCTCAGGCATAGCTGGCTGGCGAGCTGTATTGAAAATGTCGATATCTAGCCTCTGTGCTACACGTAGGGTTTCACTGACAATCATTCGGCCTTCGTTTAGCTTCTTAACAAATGGACACTCAATACCATACGGTGTAAACTTCATCAGAAGAACACCTAGCTGCTCGCAGAGCCGCATCACAAATGTAACACGTCTGTTCAGCTCTCGACCACATAATCCTAAGGTAAAATAAAGCTCAATGATTTTGTTTTCTTTTTTGCAGTCGCTTTATTCAGTACATAACGTAGAGTTTTTAAATCGTATTACCCGATGGTTTCTTTTGCAGGTACCAGAGGTTCCAACATGGAAACCAGTAGCAGAGGACCAACTTCCCACGGTAATGTCCTCATCACTGGGTCAGTGTGAGCACAATACAGTAGCCTATAGTAGCGGTGGAAGAAGTAGTACTCAGATTATTTGCTTAAGTAATCGTACCAGTAACACTGTAAAAACACTTTTACTTACAATTAAAAGTCCTACATTCAAAATCAAGATAAAAGATTTTTATTGTTAATTCATTATATGTCCATGACATACAGAAAATCGAAATACCGTTTCTCTCTCACCTAGTATTGAATGCCATACCATTTAGGAAAACTAAAATAGAATAAAAGTATAGTACAATAGAATAAAAAAAGAATAAGAGAACTAAAACAAAGTGATTAGGATAAAACTAAACAGTACAAGCTAATAGGCTATGACACACAATCAGTGACAGTAGTGCAAATAATAACATAACAATAATATAATAACATAACAATAATAATATAACTTATGTAGAAGAACAAAAGCATTAGCATCATAATATAAGCAAAGTACCATAAGTAATGTATATTATTTGATTATAATTATTGATGCATAATTGTGTTTAGCACTTTAATGTAATTTAATTTAACTATCTTATTATATGCTTATAATTTGAAGTACTGCTCGGTAGCTTGTGAATTTCCCACCAAGGATCAATAAAGTCTTATAATTATACTGTATTTTGTTTTATTAATCAATTTCTGAGAAGTAACAAAAGTTATTAAATACATATAGTGGAGTAAAGAGTACAATGTTTGCCTCTAAAATGTTGTTGGAAGTATGAAAATACACCAGCAAAGTACAGATATCCTAAAACACAACAAGTACAATCTGTGAGTGAATGGACATGGAGTTATGACTGTGTTTTGTGATTACAAGTTATTAATGGATACAGTGACTTCATTCAGTGGTTAAGTGATGGTGGAAGGAAATTGTCATACATACACTTCTTACCAATACCTCTTTGATTTTCCAGCCTGCCCACATCCCCGCTGACCTGGTGGACAAACTGGAGCGTCTGGCCTTGGTTGATTTCCGTACCAAACAGGGACTGGCCTGTTTGGAGAAAGCTATACGATTTGCAGATCAGCTTCATGTTGTTGACACGTCAGGGGTTGACCCAATGGACTCAGTTCTGGAGGACAGGTGTGGTACAGACCTTAATGGGAAAACAGCTTGTTTGCATATGGGCCTTTTTTGTTACAGTTATAACCAAGTGGAATCAGAAATAAGCAACAACTTCAGCTCAATTTTAAGCTCTAGTGGAACCTGTTGTGTGAATGTGGTTTTGTTTTATCCATGCACATTCAGGGCATTATACCTGAGGGATGACACTGTGATGGAAGGGGACTGTGCTGAAGAGCTGCTCCAACTCTCCAAAAACACAGTTGAGGAATACTTTGTGGCACCGCCAGGTATATGCACACATTTACTTTGAAACACTAGTCTTAATTTAATGATTAGTTGTAGGCTTCTGAGATGATACCTTATTAACATTCAAGATGACTGTGTAGCATTTCATCCTGTTTTGTTTGTAACTCTGAGGAACCTTAACTAATGCTTATTTTCTTCCCATAGGAAACATTCCTTTACCAAAGAGGGAGGAGAGGGCTGCCATGCTGAAACACTCCGAGTTCTGATGTTTATCAATTTGTCCTTGATATCTATAACTTTTTTTTATTTGGAGGCTAGATGTGCTTTTGAGGAAGTATACATCACATCTGTTGCACAAGTCACTCCACTGCTTATCTTCAGTGACAAACAAGTGTCAAAAGGCGTTGTCAGGTGTTCAGTAGGTTTACTGTTCTGGGATGGGGAAATACAAATCTGCAGGTCATTTATGAAGTCTTTTTCAGTTTCCTTTAACAAATGTGGCTAAATGTCTGTTTTTGGTTTCAGTATCATTTTATCAGTGTTGTTGCAGGCAATTTATGTGAGGACATGCAGTGCAATGGCAGCACATAAGTTTTGTTTTTATTTGTGATGTACATTGCTGTCAAGATGTCCAGTTTCTAGTGTTTGAATTCAATAGAGAAATAAGTATTTTCCTGTTTTTGTAACATGTGGTTTTATGAAAGTATAAACAGATCAAAATAAACAGATGTGTTTGTCAGCCATAATTATTCTAAAGAAATTGTTTAACTTTTAGATCAAGGCAATCCTGGTTTGACCACAGTCATCTAAAGTTTACTTGTAATTCACACGACCTGTTTGTTAAACTTTGGTTACTACAAGTGGTACTTTCATAAACAAGTTAATAGAGTTCAAAACATTGGCAGAGTCACTTTGGGAGAATAGAAACCGAAAGTTATGAAGGAGAGAAGAGGAAACGAATCTGACGTGAAGAGGGTGGTGACCAGCTGGAGCTGCCTGTAGGCTATATAAACAGATCAACCCTGAGCTCTACACCATCACCACTTTACCTGGCTTTGTGTGAAGACGCTTTCCTGAAGAGTTTACAGTTTTGTTTCAAAAGGTAGGAAACTCTTTAATAACGCTGTAGTGAAACGCATGAGATAATTTATTGCTGAAGGTTTTCGAGTGCATACTTTAAATATTCGGAATCGTCTTTCAGACCATATTCAATATGGAAATAACCATCACTATGCTGAACGGGATGTCCCGTACTTTGACGGTGAGCCCACAGGACACAGTCGGCCGTCTGAAGACGCTCATCCATGGGTCACTGGGGGAGGCTCCTGACAGACAGAGGCTGGTCCTGGACAGGATCGATCTCAGCGAGGACTCAAAGCCGCTCAGCTCCTACGGAGTACAGCATGGCTCCAGGGTGGCTCTGCTGGTGACCGAGCAACAGGTGACCGAACCGCAACCCGTGACCGAACCGCAACCCATCGAGGTGTTCTTCATAAACGACAAGGGCACGATCCAGCAGAGGCTCGTCTGTCAGGGCCGGGAGCTGAATGATGGGAAACTGTCAGACTACAACATCGAAAAGCACAGCACCATCGACTTGGCTCTCCGCCTGAGAGGAGGCTGACGACACATGGTTAATACACCAGAAAGTAATTTATAATATATCGTTAACTACTAATGAAGATCAAATATTTTACCATATTTTTTATTTATCTGCAGTCTGGGCTATGTCGCCTCAAAGTAATTTATAATGTCTTGTTAAATAAAAATGACGATGAAATACAATAGGCTGTTTCTTGTTTGTATGTATGTATATCCACCAATGGTGGGCATGTCCCTGCTTGTCTCAGCTCAGGCTTGAACCTATATCCTGTACCCATGTAGGCTACAAACCACAATGACTCATTTCAGTATTTCATATTAAAATGCAAACTGCCTGAGCCACAATTCAGACTTACATGTTGGCAGTGCTCTGTAAAAAGTGGCCTACATTGTTTTGTTATTACACTCATGTTTTCTAATTATTATAGCAGCATTTTAGCTCTATAGCTTAAACTCTTTTAGAGGTTTGGAATTAATCAAAAGAACTTGGCTACTGTAGGCTATGTGAAATTTACTGTCCAGATCAGCCTGGTTTTGTTATCTCAGGACGTGTACCTTTCCATCCACTATTATGCCAATAGAGGGCTGCTAATTTTCTATTTGAGTGCCATTAAATGACTGCAGAAAAAGGGCCCAATAAGATGACTCACTAAAGAAAGAAAGAAGAGTGTCAGTCAAACAAAATATTGCAACATAATGGAAGTATGGCGTATTTATTTCATCTAGCCTATTAATTCTGTAAATTACACACACTGCTGCTATTTGTCATGTCTTCAGTGGACATTTAGGTCACATGCTTCATGTAAGTCATTCATTTACATTTTGTTTTTTATTTTGATAAAGCAACTTTTCCACATCAGCCACAATATTTCAAGGTTTGTTTTAAATTGTCGGCCAAAGTAAAAATGCATGTATAAAGAGCCTTGTTGTGTTTTCTCAGGGTATGTGCCTTTCCACCCACTATTATGTACACAAAGAGCTGCTAATTTTCTAGTTGGGTGCCATTAAACAACTGTAGAACCACAACAAAATAACAAAAGGACAAAACATTTAACTTGATCAAAACAGAGGTGTCATTGTTCATTAGGAAATGGTTTTTAAAATGCTTGTAAAAAAAGCTGGATTCATAAATATGGTAGATTCATAAATAGCCTATGCCACTGGGCAGTGTTAGTAAGCTCTCACTATAGTGGAGTCATGTTAGGAAAATAGAAAAGGGAAGTTATAAAGGCAGGGAGGGGAAAGCAAATCTGAAGTAGGCTAAAGAGTTGAGGCAGCCTGTAGCTGATGTGTCTGTGATGAGCTGAAACCTCACATCTGCTCCTCTGCATCTTTGGTTTACTGGTCTCCATCTTGAGTTTTTCCTGAGGAGTTTGTCGTTTTGTCTTAAAAGGTAGGAAACTCTCTTTTACCATGCTGTAGTGAAATAAAGGAGAGAATTTACTGCAGAGTTTTGTACTTATTTTTAAAATATAGGCTACTGAAGGCTGTTTATTTTTTAAAAAGTAGCCCATTGTCTTTCAGACCATTTTCAGTATGGCGACGACTCAAGACCGCTCAGCTCCTACGGAGTACAGCATGGACGTGTTTGTCAGCCATAATTCTTCTAAAGAAATGTTTTGACTTTCAGAACTAGGTCATCCTGATTTGACCACAGTCATCTAAAGTAAGTTTGCTTGTAAATCACACAAACAACAGTTTGTTAAGGTTTGACTATTACAGATGGTAAATTCATAAACAAGTTAGTAATGATCAAAACATTACCTGCTGAGTCACTTTGGGAGAATAGAATCCGGGAAGTTGGGAAGGAGAGAAGAGGAAACGAATGTGACGTGAAGAGAGAGGGTGGTGACCAGCGGGAGCTGCCTGTAGGCTATATAAACAGATCCACCCTGAGCTCTACACCATCACCACTTTACCTGGCTTTGTGTGAAGACGCTTTCCTGAAGAGTTTACAGTTTTGTCTCAGAAGGTAGAAACTCTTTAGCTAACGCTGTAGTGAAACGCATGAGATAATTTATTGCTGAAGGTTTTCGAGTGCATACTTTAAAATATTCCGAATCGTCTTTCAGACCATATTCAATATGGAAATAACCATCACTATGCTGAACGGGATGTCCCGTACTTTGACGGTGAGCCCACAGGACACAGTCGGCCGTCTGAAGACGCTCATCCATGGGTCACTGGGGGAGGCTCCTCACACACAGAGGCTGGTCCTGGACAGGATCGATCTCAGCGATGACTCAAAGCCGCTCAGCTCCTACGGAGTACAGCATGACTCCAGGGTGGCTCTGCTGGTGACCGAACCGCAACCCGTGACCGAACCGCAACCCATCGAGGTGTTCCTCATAAACGACAAGGACACGACAAACACGTATAAAGTCCGACCCGACGAGACTGTGAGCAACTTCAAGCGCAGGGTGGAGAGCAGGGAGGGGGTGCCGGTGAGCCAGCAGATGCTCCTCTATCAGAGCCGGGAGCTGAATGGCGGGAAATTGTCCGACTACAACATCGAAAAGCACAGCACCATCTACTTGTGTCTCCGCCTGAGAGGAGGCTGTGGACACTCTCACATTGTACTGTTTTGACAATACAACTGTCAGTATGTGTTCTATATGGGTGTTATAAATCTGTTGTTATAAATAACCCACGTTTGCATCTTGTCACACTTTTCAGTCATACTCGAATCCGTACATCAGATTGTTTCAAATTACATCAAATGAAAGAAGGAAATCTGTTGCATAATTTGTACTCATTACATTTTCATATCTTACTTCTGAACAGAGTTACAGGCAGTTCAATGGTTCCAAAAACAGAATAAACAAATACTA